TGGAGGCATCAGCGTTACGTTCCTCATATCCTCCTCTTTCTTCCCTCTGGACAGGCTCCAGATGGGGTCTTCTTCCTTCTCCTTCCACGATCTCCACCTCCTCTTCCTCCCTACGAATATCAGAATTCGTACTTTTTCCCTCCATTCTTTTCGCCACAGAAGCTGAAGTTTGGTTCTGGATTTCTAACATCTTTTTCATCATGTCTCGTAGATCGGCAACTTGCTCTTCCATGGAGGAAATCCTTTCCTCCACCGTCGTTTTAATTTGATTCATCTTCTCTTCAAGTCTTTCCTCCAGAGCATCCACCTTTTTGGCCGCCATCACAATCCTGAGTTTGTAAAATCACAAATTCTAGATTTGGAACTTCAAAAACAGCAATTCCCCTTCCTTCCGGGCAATTAATCACAGCTGAAATTTGCCGAAATCAGCCCTCCACCGGTCCCACGACTTGCTCTGATACCAATTTGATAGGAAACACTTGGATTTCCAAGTGTTTCTCACCAAAACCAAGTAGATCCAATGTAAAACTGCTGTCCACAGCATAAATCAGCCAAGAAACAGTGGAAAAATAGCAAATCGGAGAGAAAACCGTGGAGAAAAGACTTGTATTTTTACTAATAGATGAAACAGAATAGAAAAGATACAATTGATCCTCAATTCGAGAGGAGGATCGATCTCTCCCAAATCTCTAGACGCCACTAGAGCCCAAAGAAACCTAAATCTAAGAGATCTCAAATTTCAGCCAAATTCAAGATGCCCAAACCCTAGGAAAACAAACTATTTAATGCATACAAATCAAAAGAAAATCCCTAAACAGTCCCTACATTCAAATTTCCCTCTCAAAACCCTCAAAAAAGCTTCCTAAAAAGCTCCCGCACGGTGTGCAGCTTGCTCGGCATCTCCGCGGGCAGAGATTTCTCCGCCCAGTTTGCGCTGGGCCGGTCCCGCACGGACCGGCTGGACCGGTCTAACACCATCATGGTCGCATTGCCCCTAACCACCTATCATCCGACATGACATTCTTCAAAGCTTATCTGATCATTGCATTTTCATGTCTAGGTTATGTGAAACTTGACCATATATATAACTATGAACATGCATGTAGACTGCTATAACTGTCGAGTGTATCAGAATATAAGCTAGTATAACTGAATTGTACATAGCAACATTATATAGAAAAATATAACAGAATCAACTCTAACAGGAACTAACATGGGAA